AGAGGGAAAACTTCATTTATGTAGTAAAGAATTCTATTTAATTACATGATTCATTATTGGTTGAATTAAATTAGATATAAAGAAAATATCCTTAACCTGATAAAGAATACATGAAGTTCTCTGAGCTGGTAGATTTATCACTCCCCTGTGGGCTACCAGGACAATAGATCTTACAAGTCGCTTCCACTCATTGATAATATTTCTGAATATTACTTTTTGTTTGATATTCGTAAAGGTAAGTAAAAATAACCTTGAAAACCACATATGTTACACTAAGGAATAAAACAAAAGAAAAAATGAGGAGGCTCTCAGAGAGGTCATGGTCAAAGAGAAAAATAAAGAGAAGGAAACATGAATATTAGAAAAGGAGAAGCTGGGCGGCGGCGCACGCCTTTAATCCCAGCACTCGGGAGGCAGAGGCAGGCGGATCTCTGTGAGTTCGAGGCCAGCCTGGGCTACCAAGTGAGTCCCAGGAAAGGAGCAAAGCTACACAGAGAAACCCTGTCTCAAAAAACCAAAAAATAAAAAATAAAAATAAATAAATAAATAAATAAATAAATACATAAATTAATATGTGGTGGTAATCTAATTGTATTGAAATATTATTTTGATTTGTACTGAAATATTAATTTGATTGTATGTTAATAAATAAAGTTGTCTGGGGGTCAGAGCTATTAGAGCCATAGCAAGAGTGTGGCGGTGGTGGCACACGCCTTTAATCCCATAGATATCTGTGTGTTCAGGGTCAGAGCTATTAGAGCCATAGCAAGAGTGTGGCGGTGGTGGCACACGCCTTTAATCCCATAAGATCTCTGTGTGTTCAGGGATACAGCCAGCATTGGAGACATATGCCTTTAAGACCTAGGGGGCTGTACATTCAGACAGTGACGAGGCAGTCATGTGTTTGGGTTTACAACCAATGAGAAGGCAGAACAACATACTTTAAAAATACGAACCGAGAGGAAGTAGGTCTCTTTTCGCGAAGCTGGGACAGCAGGAGGAAGGGTGAGATTTTAGCTCTGAGCTCTGACTTCTCGGCTTTCTCTTTTACATTGTTTCTGTGTTTCTTATTTAATAAGACGGTTGGTTACATCTACATTAATAAGTAGAAAAGGAGAATGACTAACTTACAAAAAATCTTAAGGTTTCATCCTATTTGGGATTTGGCACATATAAATTGGGATTATGTATTTTGTTAGCATTTTGTTTCTAAAAGTATTACATGGAATAAGAGTAGCAACTAATGGCAACTCAGGTTTAGAAAAGTTTTTTGTACCTTTTTTAACACATGAAAATAATTTCTATTTCTGCTTTCCTATTTTTAATAAACTTTTTCAAAGGTTGTATAAGTAGGTGCTTAGTAGTATTTAGTTGTATTGTTTTGACATTAAATCATTTTGTCTTTTCTGTATAATGGTATGCTAAAAACAAAAACATATCTTGCCTTTTTATAATCAAGGATGCTTGTCCAGAATATCTCCTGATGGAAATTGGATTTCTCAATCAAATATTTTGATTGAACATTTGGAATTCATAAAGTATGATATTTAGGAAAATATAAATTTATACTCAGACTTATTCATATACTTGAAAATCACTGCACCTTTGTCCTGTTTAAAATTTATCCCTGTAGTGGTAACAATAAAAAATAAAATTTCGGGGCTGGATAGACGGTTCAGCAGTTAGAGCAGAAAGAGTTAGAGCTCTTCCAGAGGGCCCAGATTCAATTCCCAGCACCCACACGGCAGCTCACAAGTCTGAAACTCCATTTCCAGGGGACCCAACACCCTCACCCAGACATACATGTGGGCAAAACACCAAGACACATAAAATAAAAATAAACAAATAAAAAAATAAAATTTCAAAAAAAGAAAGGAGGAAATGAGAACCTGTTACAGAAAAAAATGGCATTTAGTATAAATCTACACAAACCAAAAATGTCACCTAAGAACTATTGCAACTATTAAGATATCAAAAAGTTGGCTAGCAGAAAATAAATATATAATAGTAGAATATTTTCTCTTAAATGTAGTTTCCCGTGAGAAGTTGTAATTCAAGGAAGAAATAGTGGTTGGGCTGGAGAGATGGCTCATGGGTGAAAAGTGTTTGCTGCTCTTGCAGAGGACCAAGGTCTACATCCAAGAACAAACAACTGCTTGTAACACCAGCTCTAGAGAATTCGACCTCCTCTTATGGCCTTCAAAGGAACCCATCTACTTGTGGTATACACACACAGACACACATACATATAAAATAAAAATAACAAATAGTTTTAAAAGAAACAGTGATTTTACAACAAAGATAACTAATAATTCAGAAAAATTAGCAAATAATGTGAATTAGATAGCTGAAGAAACATAAAATATAAAAATGGACAGGCACTCACATGAATGTTCCTCGGGAGGAAACCTTGACTTTAAGATAATAATGTTCCATAAGTGAATCTGAAGATTTACTGATATTACAATACAAATATCAATGCCTATTTCCTTTATGACGTCTGCTTCTTTGGGACTTTATCAATAAGCATATCCGTACTTATTAAAATGTGCTTTAAATGAAAATCAAAAATAGTTAGCAGTGGCTGGGACTAGAAAAGCTACGAAATTCTTTCTTCATATATACCTTATATATTTCCTTATTGGTTTTATTTAGCTTTCCTTTTATGCTGGGAGGTTGAATTAGGACTTTAAACATGCCTCGTAATATTTATTACTAGAAAAAGAGGTTTTTTTTCCTTTTTGTTTGTTTGTTTATTTTGAGACAAGGTTTCTCCGTGTAACAGTCCTGGCTGCCCTAGAACTAGCTCTGTAGATCAGGCTGGCCTCAAACTCAGAAGTTCTCCTGCCTCTGCCTCCTGAGTGCTGGGATTATAGGTGTGTGCCACCATCACCAGCCGACAAAGAAGATTCTTAATCTTGACAAATACACAAAACAAAATCTCTTTAGGCCATTCTATTGGCTCTTAATATCTGAGAGATTGATCACAGACTCTTTGGAAAACTGTCGCTGTCAAGGACCTCTAATCTGACCTCCTAAAATTGACTTAGACCCATACACAATTAAAAATAAAACCTTTAGAATGAATATCATTTCAGATGGACCACAGAGTTAACTAAGTATGAACACCTAATTGAGGTTAATCAGTGTGGCCATTGGGCACTGTAGTTTGGGTCTGTGTGGGAGCCCGTTCTCGGGTTCCTTGTGGCTTTACCCAGCAGGTCCGAATAGAGGATGATCAGGACCACGGGCCTGAGTGTAGGTGTCTGAGATGGTCTGCACTTGGCTGTGCTGGGAGAGGAGGTCTTTTGCTCCACCCCTTGGCGTCTCTATAAAAACCCTGGGGCAGAGACAGTCGGGGCCCGTTGGAATAGGTTCCAGGCCCTCTCGCGGCTAAACTTTATTTTCTGTTTATCTCCACAAGATTCTCTGCAATAAATCCTTCTATCTAATATTTCCTGCTTCTCGCACTCAAGAAAACTCTGGGGAGCTGTGGGGTTGGTGGGTAAACGCCCCACAGGTCTGGACATATATTTGGCTAAGGGAGTATCAAAGTAGATGAGGACTGGCAGTTACTCTGCAGCAAACCTAGGATCCTACCGGTTGCTTGGAGTAAAGGAAGCCAGAGTTGAGGGCCATCAGGCTGTAACTTTCAGACCAGGTAGTATAGTATATGAGATATTAAAGAAAACATTCACCAGGACACAACCGCTTCCCCCAACCATCACTTCTGTATTCATTGAAATATTCTGCTCCAAAGGCAGATAAGAGCAAGCTATTCCATGCATTGCTGAGTTACCCCTAAGAGAGGAAAGGTAAGCGGCTAAAGGCATTCACCCATGTCACCACTTTGATGAGCTCTCCATGTATATTTTAGGAGTAAGCAACAAAGTCAGATGACTGCATGCAGGGGATGGCATTAAAGGCTCAGGAGTGTGGGAGGCGGTGGTGGAACAACAGCTTCTATCCTTCTTAACAGGGCAAGGATGATTTTCCAATCCTGCACCCTTCACACAATTACTTTTCTTAGCCTTGAAGCTCTTCTTTTCATCTAAAGATGAATCACTAAACTGGAACCTAACCCAGGGACAGATGTTCAAAATTGTCATGGTTACAGCAATGAAATTACAGGAGATTCACACAGCAGTAAGCAACAGCATGATAATGTTAAATAAATGTATTTCTCTAACAGGACAAGAGAAGGTCATTTATTTATTCAACTTAAAAGCCATCCAAGAAGAAAAGTAGGATATCATTTATCCAAAATAAATAAGATAGGGCAACTGAACGCATCTTCACGGATCAATTTGCAGATCATGCAGAAATAAGTTTATATCATCAAGAAAAAAATCATTTTAAATGCTCAGATACTTAGCATGCTTTGAAATCTATCTCCCATGTGGCCAATACAATTTATTTTCTGTGCGATAAAAATTAACCAAAATTAACGCGAGAGAAATCCTGCTTTAAAACAAAACGTTTCTGTCAGGGTTTGCTACTATTTCTCACACTTAGTTCTTCTTTCATTGTATCTTCTTCCTGTCAAAATAAAGCTGTAGTCCTGGTTTTTAAGACAAAAGAACGAGTCTTCCAGAAGTGCAGATCTCACCTCCTATCCTTGCCTCCTCTTTGATATGCACCCCTTATCTAAACAGGAGCAGAAACTCAACCACAAGGGAAATGGTGGGAACTAGGTAGAGACTGGAGGATGGAGGGGAAAGCCTGGAGGAACAGCGCGGGAGGGGGAGGGGGGGAGGGGGAATAATGAGATAATTCCCCAAGGGAAAAAAGTGAACAATGTCAACAGTTCTCCCAGAAGCTGCAGCTCCTCTCCAGTAACTAGAGAAAGCAAATTCATACAGGGAGAAAGGGGCTCCTTTTGGTCTGAGTTACAAAGGCAACGAATGATTGACAGGACCTGATGTGGTAGGATGAGGCAGGAGTGGGGATAAAGGAGGGGGTCCCGCTCTTGGTGGGAGTGGAATTCCGGGACCCAAGCTGACTGGCAATGAAGCCTCACGTGACCAAGAGCTGACGTGGGCAAAGGTACTTAAAGCCTTGACGGCCATCCCTGCCATCTTCCTCCGGGTACCAACGCTGTTAAGCTGCACACTGCCAGGCAAGAACAAGAAAATCCCCTCAGAACTGGACAGGTGGGTGTGAGAATGAACATCCTCAGGACCCGGGGGGTTACAAATAGCTCAGGGATGCTGAAAGTCAAGGCCTCAGGCATTTCTGCATCCTCTGCCGCCCGGGTTTTCCAGACCCTGGGATCTCCGGTGCAGCGGATTTTGGTGGGCAGCGGGCGAGAGGGGAGGAATGGAATGAAAGGACTATCCGATGTATGGGAGAAACCGCTTACTTCTCTCCCAGATGTTTTGCGGTTTTGTTTTTGCCACTCGGGCTCAGCCCCCTACTTACCGTGTGGTTTTGAGAGGAGCAGGCAAGAGAAATAAACGTGGCAGCACATTCAAGCCCAGCAAGGAGGTTGCGATCGGGTGGCTGGGGGGGGGGGGCTTGAAATGTGGAAGCAATCGGTATTTTTCACTCCCATCCTCCCTTTTCAGACACCTTGCTGCCCCAACCCTCCCCCCTCCCCCTCCCCTCCCCCACCACCCCCCTGTCCTTCTAGGGTGCTAGGAAATGGGTGTGCCAGCTTCTGTGGGAGAGATGGCGGATTTGGCGCTGCATGGGCTTCACAGGCTGGGGGATCGTGACAGAATCTGGTATTAAACCGCCATGCTAACTGCCAGGCTGCTTTCCAGACACCTGCGGCCCACGGAGCCCTTCATCCTGGTCTTTTCAGGCCTGAAAAAGGAATTCGGGTATGCGGGCTAAAGAGATGGCGGTTATCTGGGGATTTGGGGTGGGGGGTGGGAGGCGGAGCCCAGAGCAGGGAAATCACGGAAAATCGCGACCCTAAAACTGAGGAGGCAGGCCTAGTGGCCCTTGTTCTGCAAGCTAGTGCTAGGCCAGAAAGATGGGGGATGGAGAACCGCTGAGTATAAGCGAGGAACAGGAGACTATCTGGCAGGAATCCCCCAGGCTGCGTCTTAGCCAGCACTCACGCCTTGCCCCCTCCGCCTCGATGCAGCAGAAGGGGTGTGGCGCTGTGTCTCAGAAAAATGGCGGCCAGGGGTGGGGCGAATTAGAAGGGGGCGTTGAGTGCCTGGGGAGCCTGCGCAAACGGGGGTTGGGGGGCAGTGCTGGGGGCCTAGGGAGGTGGGATGAAAGAGGCAGGAAGAATGAAAGGAATTGAAAGGTGGAATTTTTTTTTTTTTTTTGCCATTGTGGTGTGCAGATAGAAAAAGGCTAACACTAGGGCTCTTGTTCTGGATGATGATATGTCCACCAGGTTCTTAGCCTGCACCCGCAGTCTATATTTCTGCCCTTCAGCCTGTCCTCCGCATGAAGCTCTGACTGAATTAAAGGAAGGGGAAAGACCTCTGAATTCTTGCAGGTCAGTATTTGGGGTGATGACTCCCTGGTGTGGTTATGGCAGAGGCCAGAACATAGAAGCAGAACACCTCCGCCTGCATCTTTTCTTTCTTTAGGACACCTTTGTCCTGGCCTGTCCTTTTTGGTGCAAAAAAAGGGGCATGTGGTTTCTGTCTCTTTAAATTAATAGTTGGGAGAGAAAAGGAAGAGTCCTGAGAGATTTTTTTTTTGGCCCACCAGAATGCAAATCAGGGCAGAAACAACTATCTCTCTACCAAAGGCTCAAAACCACCTGTCATCTACCCACAGATCCATTTACCTGCAGACTCTGCAGCTGTGAGATCGCGCACGGTGGGAACTGCTCCTGATCCCGGGAAGTTGGTATGTACATGACAACTATCTGAGGACATTTGAATGGGGGTGGAGGTACTATAGGTGACTCTCAGATCTCCCACTCTCTGCCAGATGTCCATATTACCCCCTCCCCATTTAGGGACAAATAAATGATAGGGACTCGCACTGGGAAGGTGGACTCGAGTTGTAGATAAGACCTGGAGCTGATCTTTACATCAGCAAATGTAGGTAGGCTTCCACACCTGTGTCCCCAAACTCTCCTCTAAGGATAGACACAAAGTGAGCCCAAACCCTGTGCCTCTCATTTCTGACATTTGCTCCTAGGTCCAGCTCAGCTTGCAGCCTCAGAAGAACTTTCAAACCTGAGCTTGAGAGCCTCGCTTTGACTGGTACATACATTCCACTTAGGCAAGCCGGTAACACAACCTGGATCAGAGAATTGTTCCAAGTGTATCATGAGCCGTGCTCGGGATGCTGGCTGCGTAGCTGCTGGAATAGTGATCGGGGCTAGTGCCTGGTACTGTGTCTACAAATATACTAGAGGAAGAGACCAGAAGAAGAAGAGACCAGCCAAGCCCAAGAACCGGGCTTCGGTGGGTACTGGAGCCAGAGCTAGAGCTGGGCTAAGAGCTGGATTCACAATTGACCTTGGGCCAGGATTCAATACCCCAGCCCTGGTGAGTGTTGAGGCAATGAATAAGGCCCAAGAAGAGACATCCACTCTTGCCAAAGCTGCAGCTGAAGAAATGGTGCCAGCTGCACCCAGCCCTAAGGTTCAGAATGGGGCCGAAAGTAAGGTCCAGGCGGCAAATGGGACTGGGACTGAGCCTACTAAAGTAGTCGTGACTTCAGCTGCCTGTGCAGTTACATCCCCACCCAAGGTGGCAGAGGTCCCCGCAGCTTCAGGGGCCCCAGAAATAGTAGTGGCTCCCAAAGTGGCAGGAGCTGCCAGCACCACACAGGCTTCTGGAGCAGCACTACTCCCTGGTCCAGCAATGCTTCCTGGGGCAGCCCAGGCTCCTGGGCCAGCAATACCTTCCCCATCAATAGCACCTCCGATGCCAGCAGCACTTCCGTGGGCTGTAGCGCCTCATGCGGTAGCCCAGTCTCCTGGGCCAGCAGCACCAACCATGGCAGTCCAATCTCTTATGCCAGCAGCACCTTCCTGGGCAGTAGTAGCGCCTCCTGGGGCAGTCTATATTCCTGTGGCAACCCACTTTCCTGGGGCAGCAGCAGCAGCGGCTGCCGCCGCCAGGGTAAGCCAGTCTCCTGGGACAGTGGTGCCTCCCCTTCCACCCCCGTCTCTTGGACCAGCAGCAGTGCTTTCCAGGGCAGTCCAGTCTTCTGTGGCATCAGCGCCTCCCAGAGCAGTCCAGTCTCCTGGGGCAACAGTGCATCCTGGGGCAGCCCAATCTCCTGGGGTAGTAGTGCCTCCCAGGGCAGTCCAGTTTTCTGGGGCAGCAGTGCCTCCCAGGACAGGAGCCCCTTCTGGGACAACAGTGCCTCCCAGGGGGGCAACAACTCCCAATGCGGCAGCATTTGCTAGGGCACCAGCATCTACCCAGAGGGCAACAACCACAGGAGCCATGCAGGTCCCTAGGGTGGCAGCACCTACCAATGCCACAGAGACTCCTAGAATAGCAACACCTGCCACGGTGGCTGAAGCCTCTCTGCCAATGCTTTCTGGGGCCGCAGAGACTCCTGGGACTTCAGGGTCCTCTAAGACAGCAGCCACTGGCAAAAAAGCAAGCCCTGGAGCTCACACTGGCGCTATACCTAAGGCTGGATCAGCCACTGGCGCTGTGCCCAAGGGTGGAGGCAAGGGTGGAAACAGGAACCGGAATGGAGGCAAGGGCAAAAACAGGAAAAACAAGGTTGAAGTGGATGAGTTGGGGATGGGCTTTCGCCCTGGTGATGGAGCTGCAGCGGCCGCTGCAGCTTCTGCTAATGGGGGACAGGCTTTCCTAGCAGAGATTCCTGAATCTGAGGAGGGGGAATCTGGGTGGACTGATACAGAGTCAGATTCAGACTCTGAACCTGAGGTTCAGCACAGAGGGAAGGGCAAGAGAACCATTCCCATGCATAAGCGCCCCTTTCCATATGAAATCGATGAGATTCTGGGTGTCCGAGATCTCAGGAAAGTCCTAGCCTTGCTTCAGAAATCAGATGACCCCTTTATCCAGCAGGTAGCCCTGCTCACCCTGAGCAACAATGCCAATTATTCATGTAATCAAGAAACAATTCGAAAGTTGGGAGGCCTCCCGATTATTGCTAACATGATCAACAAAACTGACCCCCACATTAAGGAAAAAGCCTTAATGGCCATGAATAACCTGAGTGAAAATTATGAAAACCAGGGCCGACTGCAGGTATACATGAACAAAGTGATGGATGATATCATGGCTTCTAACCTGAACTCAGCAGTACAGGTAGTTGGGCTAAAATTTTTAACAAACATGACTATTACTAATGACTATCAGCACCTGCTTGTCAATTCCATTGCAAACTTTTTCCGCTTGTTATCTCAAGGGGGTGGAAAAATTAAGGTTGAAATTTTGAAAATACTTTCAAATTTTGCTGAAAATCCAGACATGCTCAAAAAACTTCTTGGTACCCAAGTGCCATCATCATTTAGTTCCCTTTATAATTCTTATGTGGAATCAGAAATTCTTATTAATGCTCTTACTCTATTTGAGATTATCTTTGACAACCTCAGAGCAGAAGTGTTCAACTACAGAGAATTCAACAAGGGTTCCCTGTTTTACTTATGTACTACATCTGGGGTGTGTGTTAAGAAAATCCGAGCCTTGGCCAATCACCATGACCTCTTGGTGAAAGTGAAAGTTATCAAACTGGTAAACAAATTCTGATTGCTCTGTGTCCTCAAGATCTGTGATTTCTCAGTTTTCCAATCTGGAAGCATTAAAAATGCGATGTTATTGCTTTTCTCCTTGTGTGAATAGTAAAGGGGTCTTTTCAGCTGCCAGTTTAGAAAAATGTGTCATTCAGAGTGATGTTGTCTGTGACAGTCACCAGCTTTAAGCTGATCCATTTCCTGAATACCAAATAGTCCTGTAGTCTTGTAGTTCTGTAGTCCTGTAGTACTGAAGACACATTTGTGATTTGAATTGTGTTGCTTGGGTGGAATATTTTTACTGGGTCCTCTATGTGAATTGATAATGAACCTGTCCGTGAATGTCCTACTCTGCTCCTACTTGTTTTGACTTGAATTTTGTCACCAAAGACTTCATATGTGTATCATCAATAAAGTTGTGTGTTGCAAATGGCAAGAAATTGTTCTCGTGCTTGAATTAAAAGTCTAACTGCAGAGGTAAGGACCGTGATAGACTGCTGATAGTACCTGGGCACCTGCTCAGTGTCAGATACTTGCTATCTGGGAGGGTGGAGCAGAACTTTAATGAAGGATGCACTTAAGCTGATCCTCAAGGACAGCATAGAAGATGGCCTGGGAAGGAGAAATTGTATAAAGAAAGGCATAGGGGCGAGAATTCTGTTCCTATGATAGGGAGGAAGGTAATTTCCATGAAAGAGGACTGATAAAAATGAGAACTTAGAGTGAAGATTGTTATTTTTGTTCGTTTGTTTTTAAGGTCTTAAACCCTCAGCTTGGGTACCAAAATATCCTGTCATTCAGGGAGTAACAGAACATTTTTAAAATATACATATATAAAAGGAAAATCAGAGCTGGGAGATAGCTCAGTTGGTAAAGCCCTTGCCTCACAAGTGTGAGGATTTGAGTTTGGTTCCCAGAAGCCACTTAAAAATGCTGTGTGTGATAATGCCCACTTGTAACCTTGGCCCTGGGGGTGAAGAGACAAGAGGGCCCCTGGGGCTCAGCGGCCAGCCAGGCTAAACTAATTGATGAGCTCCAGGTCAGTGAGAGACCCTGTCCCAAAGCAGTAATGGAATTCCTGAGAATTGCACCTGAGATTGCCCTCTGGTCTCTACACATACGTACACACATATGAACACACACGTAAAAATGAAAATAAACTGGTGGCAATATGCAAGATGGATTGAAGCTGGCGTGGGTAAGGGGTAGAGATAAAATGAGAGTAATTGAATGTTTTAATAAACCTAGCCTGAAGTGATAAATGGTGAAGTGGGGTGGTAATAAGGCACATGTGCACACAAGCACACACACACACACACACACACACACACACACACACACACACATACACACAAGATCTGCAACCTGACAAGTTCTGACAGGGAAGGGCTCTCTTTTTTATTATTTTATTTTACAATATAATTTAATTCTATATATCAACCATGGATTCCCTTGTTCTCCCCCC